ACACAATAGGGTGTTGGGTTACGGGCCAGGGCCTCACGTCACTGTCACCATCACTGCTGTGCAGCGCAGGCCCTGGGGCCAGCACAGGACACACCTGTGGCGGCTCACCTGACCCCTCCCTGCGGGCAGTTCTCCCTCTTACGTGTAATGGAACCTAAGCTCGGAGTGACTCATAAGGATGAGGATGGGGGTCATGGGGCCACCTTAGGATTCCACCTCCCTCCCCCTCAGCTGTACCCCAGGCCAGCTCCTGGGCGGAAGTGTCCTCTGCCCTTGGCTGCCCTCTAATTCAGCGAGGCTGGACCAGAATCCCCAACCTGTCAATTATCCCAGCGAATGAACAGTGGGGTAGACAGGCCCTCGGGCGGACTGCTCTGCCCTCGGGGGGGCCAGTTCCCTCCAGGCCCCACTGGCCCAGACCGTCTCAGCCCATGGTCTCAGCACCAGGGAGCACAGAGGTAGTAGCAGGGAGGGAGGGAGGAGAGAGCAGAGTTTGCCGCCCTGGTTACAGCTGCCCCGTCAGCCAGGATCCTGCACCCACTCGCTTTTTGCATTTCCACCTGGTTCCTCACACGGAGATCATAAACACTAACATTTCATTCATTTAATAAAGATTTCTTGACAACAGGAGGTGGAGGCACGGGGGCAGGAGCCTCGCCTTCAGAAGGGGAAGGGGCGGGGGGTGTTGTGCGCAAGCCCAGCAGCCCGCTCTGTGACTTGCTCAGTGGGAACCTCTCGGATTCCTGGCCTGCTTGCCTGATCGCTGGGATGACGCACAGGTCGCTGGGGAGAGGCTGCATGTCCAGGGGGATGACGGCCGAACTCGGACGCGTCTCCTGCAGAAACCGGCCCAGGAAGCGGCCTGTTATCTGTGACTCAGACGGGTCGGAGGTCAGACCTCTATCGCGAACACCTGGTCCAGGAGGCCCAGATAACCCTGAAGCGATTGATCCCAGGCGGCCAGGCTTGATTCCTGATGACAGCTGCCCTAATCCTTCCCATGGCGTCCGCCTGGGGCCAAGCAGGGAAGGCCCAGTA